CAGCTGATGGCAGTCATCGGTTTTGTGTCCTTGATGTCGGTGGAAGCGACAGTAGGGGTAGTTTGGATTGATGGCATATACATCCGGGGGGGGTGCGAGAATCTCGCTCCACCAGGCCCCTCTCCTCAGCGAAGTCGAGGATGACGCTGACGGGGTGCATCAAAGGTGTCCGAGGGTGCTCCAGGAGAACAGGCTGCGTCCAAGTCTTCGGGTTACCCTTGTAACCTCCCCCGGGCTTGGCTTGGCCGTGCTAGGGGCGATCACCGGGGGTGCCGAACCCTTGGGTTGATAATGAGGAGCCCCCGACCCCCGGTTGCCTTTATCATCTGGCCGAGGGCGTTGTTGATCGGGGTTATGATGGCATTTTTCCACCTCCTCGGCCTCGGCGTATCGGTCCCCCCGCTGTAGGGCCCTTATGTAATCGCGCGGGGGGGGGGGGGGGGGGGGGGGGTTCGATGATGAGGCTCCTTGAGAAGTTTCCGGGGCGGAGCACTGTTTGGAGGAGGGCCAGGAGGGTCCCGTCGTCTGCGCCATCAACTTTATCAACCTCCGTTCTCCAGCGCTCCAAGAAGTCCAGAAGGGCCTCCTCGTTCTTCTGCCTCACCGTTAGTAAATGGGAGAAGTGCTTCCTTGTCCGACGCCTTCCCGCAAATTGTTTCAAGAATCGCTGGGCGAGTTCTTGCCAAGAGTCGATGCAGCCTTCAGGCAATCGGTTGAACCATTCGTAAGCGGGCCCCTCTAAGGTGGAGAGGAACCAGCGGCACAAATACTCATCCGATGCCCCCACCATCATCATACTGTTTTGGTATCTGCTGTAGTGCTCCTGGGGGTCAGTTTTTCCGTCGTAAGGCTTGATGAGTTGCCCTCGGTACTTTTCCGGGATCCGGGCCGCCAATACCCTTGGGGTAAATGGCGTCCGGGTCCGGAGTTGTATGGTGTGTTCTTCGGAGCCCTCAGCTATCTTCTATTGCATCTCTTCCATCTTGGCCAACATGGCCTCATACTTCAGGTCTGTATGAGGGGCAGAGGTGGTTGCGTGTGCTTTGGTGGCCTCCATCTCGTCAAGCCGGCGCTGGAGGGCCGCAATGATTTCGTCCCGGGGGTCCTTCGGGAGGGCCTCCGCCCCCTGCGAACGGACACGGGGCGAGTGGGCCTGGTTGATGTGGTGACGGGCATCGTCGGCGTGGAGGGGTGCCTTGCCCTTGTCCTGAGGAGGACGCCTTTCATTTGCCCTGGAGATGGATCCACCACTTTCCTGAGGCCTTTGGAGTGCCTTCCCCCCGAGGTGGTCTTGGACCCCTCGGTGGTCTTGCGCCCCCCGAGTCTCTCGAGGGCGGATGTACGGGACTGTTCCTTGTTCATGTTGTGGCGGTCCCGGGATTGGACCTCCTGGGAGGCCGTGTCTTGGGCCACGACCCCCTCGTCGTTCCCAATCCGAAGGACAAGGTTCCCGGGTGGGTGTGGATGAGGAGGAGGCATGATGTTTTCCCCGACCTGAGGTTGAAGGGGAACCAAAGTGCCGAAGGCACCCGGGTTCTGGGTGAGTGTTTGGATGAAGGCGGAAAACGCCGACTGTACGTCGATAGTAATGACCAGAGCGCTAACTTGGTTTTCGCTCTGGTCCTTCTTTTTGGCCTCTATGCCGAGGCGGGCATCGGGGGCATTTTGTTGAATCTGAAGGCGTAGGTCGACAGCCGTCTGATCCAACCCGGCGATGACGCCGCCCCTGGGAGCCCTGTTAGAGGCCTCTGGGACGTCGACTTCGCCGAGGGCCAGGTTCCTGTCCTCAACATTATTGGAGTTGGCACGAGTTGTTCTCACCATTTTCGCTAGGTGTTTTGTGTTTGGAGAGGGGGAGGGTTTCTTACTCGATTATTCGACCTCTCAACGAGAGCACCAAATGATGGATAGTCTACCCGGTGGTATGTATCTGAAGGGTTTCTGCGGGGAGCCTAGTTAGCTTTTTCCCGTTTTAAACGCGTTTTAAACACGTACCGTTTTTTGAACAAAAAAACACGTTTAAAACGAAAAATAATGTCGGCCCGTTTAAAAAGGAAAAAAACTCTTACTTCCCGTATAAAACGCATTTTTTCCGTATTTTACTAAAAATAGAAATATGAATTTTTCAATTGAATGAACGCATTAAATGCATAGGAGATCAACAATAGTGTAAAAGCAAAAAAAAAAAAAAAAGCTCCTCTCTATGAGCTCATGTTTTTGTATTCTTACAATACAATTATTAAGCACTAAAGTTAATTGCATGATGGCTAAAGCTAGCATCCCGTATTTTACAAAAAATAAAAACATGAATTGATCAATTAAATGAATGCATTAAACGCATAGAAGATCAACAATAGTTGAAAAGCAAAAAAGAAAAGCTCATATATGCGATCCCATGTTTTTGTATTGTTAAAATACAATTATTAAATACTAAAATTAATTGTATTTTTTCCTCATGTTTTTGTATTTTTTAAATTGTGACCCCATTTTTTTGTATTTTTGTATTATGACCCCATCTTTTGTAATTTTTTCCTCAAAATAAAAATACTAAAATTAATTGCATGGCAGTTAAAGTTAGATCCTAAATGACTAAAACTTAAAATACTACGGAGTACTTCATTTCTGATGTTTTTCCAAACAACATGTCAAAACTAAAGTTTTTCTAAACCTGACATTTTTTAGTATAAGCTTTTCCACATAAACAATAATAAGCGCGTGTAGCAGTCTCACAACTTTTCTCGTATGTGTCTGTCATCCTAATGAAAATGATGAATTTAAATTGAGTGTTATTTGATGAACATATAAAGATAATGATTTTAACTTAGTTCCATTCTATTTTTTTATGTCTTATTTGTTGACATTAGTTGCAAAATCATGTCTTGAACTTAATTACTATTTTTATTTTGTCGTGGACTTGTGCAATTACGAATTATTCTTTTATGCAATAATGAGATTTGTTACCTTAAAATGTGTATACTTTTAATTCTTTTTACTGTATATGTTATTTTGTGAAGTATATAATTTAAATATTCGAAATAATACCCCATATTTTTTGTCCGAATTTTTATAACAGATACCGTATTATACACGTATACGTATTTACACGTTTTTTAAAAGTCAACATTTTTTTCAACAAATTTTGACCATTTTTTCAATAATGTTACCGAATAAAACGCGTACGTATTAAACCTCGTTTAATTCTCGTACCGTATTTAACTAACTATGGCGGGGAGTAACTAGAGAGAAGTCAGAGCAAGTAAGAGAGAGAAAGTGTATTGAATATATGTGTTAAAAGCGTATTCCGAATCCGGTTTACAAAGGGGAAATAAGGTGCTATTTATAGTAGCAATTAATGCGAGACGGGGACACGTGTTGAGCATCCAACGACCGAGGGGTCACATCAACTGGGTGTCACTGGCATTCGCATGTGGCCGCATTAAATGCGGCGGTTGGATGTGACGTTGTACTTGGTACGGCGACCCAGGCGCATGTGGAAAGGATATTCTTGTCAAGGAAGGTCCCCTCGGCTGTAGATGATTAGGTGAGGGCTCTTCCTGTCGAAGGCCCCTTAAGGTCGAGGGCTCTAGGTGCCGAGGACTACTGATTTTCACCGTTTTCTCCCAGTGTCTTCGTATGTCTGAAAAAGCCGTTCTGTGAGTATCTGGAGCCTTCGGCCCCTTGGCCGAAGGCACCCCCAGTGTGCATTGTTGGCTGCTTGGTACTCGGGGCGCTGTGATTTGGGCCTGTTGTGCTTCCTGGGCCTATTGGGCCTTGGTTAGAGCAGTTGGAGTCTATGGACCGGGGGTTCCTGGGCCGTATACTCCATCACCTGATAAGCCGAAAATCAGGGTCACCAAACGGGCTCTTAAATTTTAAGATTTTCCTAAAAGGTTATATTTGTTGTTAATAATAATAATCACAATATAATTATAATATTTTTCCCATAACAACATACCCGTAATTAAACTTGAGATGAGATGATGATGATGATGGTGGTGGTGGTGATATCAATAATCAGACTTCCTCATACTCACAAAACTTTGTTAAGTTTCTTTATTTTGTCATGCCAAAAATCTTTATCATTTTCATTTTAATTTCTCATCCTATTTTCAATCACAGTTACGTTTCTTTTTTAATATCTCACGTGCAATTCAAATTTGAAACAAATTTGTTGTGTGAGAGAGTAATTTTTATCGATGCATAATACTTTCTCAGACCCTTATAATTTTCTATCTTTCCTTTTTAATTGTCTAAAAAATTACGATTTTCCCATTTGATTAATTAATTTGAAGTTTTCGCTGCTATTTTCCTCTGTACAACTTCAACCACACATTTTTAGTTTATTATTCTGCGCGCACATCATACGTACTTGACAATTTTTTTAGGGATGAATGGAGTATAATGTATAAAAGTTGCTACAAATTTTGGCATAAAAACAAATTCACCCTAAAATATGCCCCATCCAATCTCAATATAGGGGGGGTGTTTGGAACTGATTTTGTCCGCTTCTGCTTCTTTTTTAAAGCAAAAGCAGAATTAGAATCAGTTTTTAGAAGCTGGTCACTCCCAGCTTATAAAAAACCGATTCTAGGAGTAAATTAGAGCACTAGAATAACTTCTTCACTTTACTCAAACACTTCAACTTCTGCTTCTGCTCCTTGGGGAACAGCGGTTTTAAGAATCAGATCCAAACACCGCATAATCTTCCAATTTGCTTTTTCATTAATTTTTAATTTTACTTGCAACTTTTCATATGAACCACCCTTTTATTTTCTCTCCGCTACTAATATACGTAGTATTGTATAATAATCAAAGTTACGACATATAAACTTGAAAATCTTTTTTTATTTGAAATAAATTTTTATTTGTTTTAGATACACCCGTGCATCGCACGAGTACTATGTCGAGTAAGAAATATAGGAAAAATTGTTCTAAAGTGATTTTCGACTAATATTTAACTTGTTATCAAATTAATTCAAAATTAATATTTTTTCATATTCCAATTTGACTCGATTCCATTTGTTTACGATCCTACCCTACCTCGAACTGCCTGGTTGATTCGGATTCGCGTTCAAAGTGTACATGTTGCCCTAAATTGACCATTGAACGGATTCACCTTTTGGCTCTCGCTTTCTCGCGATCGAAGATCTTTGCGATCATTATTTACATGACATTGTTTCAAGCCTTTTGGAGTTGATCTGCAATATCTATATCAGCAATCTCGTTGAGGATTGAGACTTCAACTTTGGTTTCTCTTTCTAGCATTTGTGAGTGATCTTTTAAAACTACAAACGTTGGAAAAGATAGTCTGCGAGTATTCTTCGGAATCAAAAAACATAGCAAAATATTAACACGGGGAAGTTCCTTCTTTATCTAAATTAAAGTACCGCCGATCATATTGATTCCTTTTGGTGTTTTTGTTTTCGAGAGAATTTGTCGGCAGCGCTTTTGATTATGATCCAATTTTAGGTTTTAGCGAAAACGGTTTATTTAAGGTTGGTTCAGAAGTAATTCCTTCGTTCCCAATTTAGACACTTTAGTTTCATGTTTAGTAATATTTCATGGTGGATCCGCTTCTCATGGGTTGAGACAAACTTCAGAAAGGTGATAGCGTAGTGATGTATAAGAACTTGAAGTTTTATTTAGCCACCAAAATCGTTCCTTTTTGCAATTTCCTTTTCATTTATGGATTTTTTCTTTTGTTTTCTGGGCTCATGCAGTTTCGCTACAATTATATTGGAAACACGTCATTAAACTCATTATTTTTACCTAATTGAGATTGAGATTGAGATAAGAATTGGGTAGTCATTGCATACATTTTTGTGTTGATTTATGTGAGTTTTTTTAACATTCTTTTGACTCTACTTGATCTGACAGCATGATGTGCACATTTTTAGGGAAGGGTTTAGGGAACACTTGAATTTAATCCATATGAATGATGGAAGCCTTAATTCATAAGGGCATGAGGATAAATTCGTCCCATTCTCTTAATTCTCCCGTCAACCATTACTTGAATATGTCTTTAATCTTGGCTTTTCAATGCCTGTTGGTTCCCTGTAACAAGTCATTAAGTACTTCATATTTTTATTTATTTGTATTTAATAATAATTGGTAATGGTTGAAGTGATTGTAACAAGTCTTCAAGATAGTGGGTATCTGGGGTCCACTGCCCAACTAAAAGTATGTGGTGCTTAGGGAGTGATTTTTAGAATTACGCCAGTAACACTAACTTTCATTCATTGCTATTATATATGTATATATACATGTATAGGCATTTGATTGCTTATTAGCTTTCCCAAAAGGTGTGATTGTTGATGGACAAACGCTCTGTTCGGCGTGGTGTTGTTGTTATAGATGAACTTGAAAGCAATTTCGGAAAGTTTGTGTACTTAGGAGATAGTTATACTCCGTCTGATGAAGATGATGATAACAGTGATGAGGAGGAGGAAGGTTCTGAAGAAATCGAACCTTACGGACCTGAACTTGTTAAAAAGTGTACGAAAAAGTGTGCTGAAAGTGACGATGAACCTGAAACATCAATGCAACTACTGTTCTCGGAGGGACATATGAAGCCTAAATTACCGGTAATCTTTTGGTATTATGCTCCCATTTTACTTGTAATGGCTTCTTTTATTCCCTGTGTCCCATAATGTAAGGCAATGTGGGTTTGGCACACTTGAGAAAATAAAGGAGATTGTTGTTGTTTTACATTTGTAAACTTTTAAAGGAAGAAAACTAGTATGAGTCATGCTAGTATGATACTGGGAGTAAATAGGTTTTGGAGTTCAAATTAGGAAAGTGATCATTGTTTTGGGACAAACAAACAATAAAAGTGTATCTTACAGAATAGGATAGAAGAAGAACTATTCATTGATATTCTTTCTTAGCAGTTTGCATAGTTTCTTCAATATTATTAGTATGTTATAACTAAATAGTCGTGTCACTACTATATTGCTTTAAAAAAATATTCAACTTTTTATTCTATACTAAATTAAATATTACAAAAACTGAATAATATTTTGGACTTGCCTTGTTGTGACACATAAAATCGGATGGATTATCATTTTGAAGCTTTCGTTCACAAAAAAAACATTCTTCCTGTGGTTGATCTCTTTGAAGCTTGTGTCTGCAATGAAAGGTAGCCGCGAAAAATTGGGAGCATCCCCAAGGGAAATGTCAGTATCATGGGCGCCTCATGTGTATGATCCAATTCCAGATTCCTTATCTCGAACTGTGAAAACCAAGCAGAAGAGTTCTAGGAAAGACAAAGATAGAGACAAAGAAATCAACAACTACAAGAACAAGGGAAAGAAAGGTCAAAAGGGAAATTGTCGTGGTAAAGACAAGCAGCTTGGCAAAGCTGGTGGGAGGTGGTCCGATAGGGGGTGTAATAGAAATCAATATACTTGGGACAGTCCTGATGAGTTTTAATGTTGGTAAAACGTAAAAATTCAGTCAAAATAGAAAATGTCATATAGGATTGTGGAATGTTATTTCAGTTTTCTATAAAATCATCTATAGGGATTAGGGAAGTTTAGCAATGCCTCTGACTTGGGATGAAGTTCAATTCTCTAAGCCCAATTACTTTGCAGCAGTCTTCAACTTTCAAATTCATCTGTTTTAGTGACCAATTTGAGCATTCTTCTTCTTTACATGAAGACTCGGTTTATCATTCAATAGTCGTTGAGGTGAACTAGAACACTTCAGCTAATAGGTAATAATCATTTTGTGCATTATTGTTATGATTGTGGCTGTCTGGTATATTTCTAGGCTCATTTACAATGCAGTAGTCTTTGGGATGGGTTGAGTCTAATTGCAGATCTTATCACTTCCCTTCTAGGCTTCTATTATCAAGTACTATCTCCTCCCACAAAATTCTTCCCACTTTGACTTGGCACGGATATTAAGAAAGTGGAATAAAGTGGAAATGTGTGGTTGTGGTTGTGTAAGAAAAAGGTGAAATGAATGTGAACCACACAAATTGTCCAAAAATGGTAAGTGGGAAGAATTTTTTGGGACGGCCCAAAAAGGAAAGTGGAAAGAATTTTATGGGACGGAGGGAGTAATGGTTAATAGAAGCCTAGAAGGGAAGTGATACACGGCAATTTCAACTTTGTATCTTACAAAAACCCCTAGATATGTTTATAATTTCTTTCTTGTTATTTAGTGTTAATAGTTTTGACTTGCACAATTGCTAACTTTGATAGTTAATACTCCCTCCGTCTCATAAAATTCTTCCCACTTTCCTTTTTGGGTCGTCCCAAATTTTTTTTCCCACTTACCATTTTTGGACAATTTGTGTGGTTCACATTCATTTCACATTTTTCTTACACAATTACAACCATATATTTTCACTTTATTCCACTTTCTTAATCTTCGTGTCAAGTCAAAGTGAGAAGAATTTTCTGGGACGGAGAGAGTATATATTTGATCGGTAAAAAGATACTCCTTCTGTCCCTAAAAAGATTGCCAAGTTTGACTGACACGTAGAATAATAAAGTAAAAATTGTGTGGTGGAGATTTGTGCAGAGGAGAGAAATAATAGGAGTCACAAATTGATTGATTAAAAGGGAAAGTGACAAAGTTTTTGGGATAATAAAAAAGGAAACTTGGCAAAATTATAAGGGACGGAGGAAGTATTTAGTACTCCCTCCGGTCCTAAATAAACTTCACACTTTCCATTTTGAGTAGGTCCAAAATAAACTTCACACTTCTTCTCCCTTCCTTATTTGGCAAATTATCTACATCAAAATAGTGTCACAACAGTGTACTCTACAGTAAAATCAAATTTATTTTCTTAATTTGTGTGAAGTCAAAGTGTGAAGTCAAAGTGTGAAGTTTAATTAGGACCGGAGGGAGTAATATTAAATAAAATATTACCTTATACTCCCTTCGTATCTAATTAGATGACCTGTTTGTTTTTGACGGAGTTTAAGTTAATCACTGTATACTTTATGAAAAGTAAGAGGTTTTTGTACTGTAGCGGTACTGTAGCTGCTTTTTGAGTCGGATTCTTTCCAAAAAAGGAAAGAAGACAATTAATTTGATACACCAAAAAAGGAAAGTGTGACAAGTAAATAGATACGGAGGGAGTACATGGTAGTACAAAATATCGGTAAATCAGGAGATTTAAATAATTCAAAAGTCAAAGCATTGACTCTAATCAATCACATCGAAAGTATAAAATCAAACTTTTGTACTCCCTCCGGTTCTCAAAGAGCTTTACATTTGATTTCACACAGATTAAGAAAATAAATTTGACTTTACTGTGGAGTGCACTGTTTGACACTGTTTTGCACTGTTTTGGTATTGATAATTTACCAAATAAGGAAATAAGAAGAAGTGTGAAGTTAATTTCAGGACTTTCTAAAAAGGAAAGTGAGAAGTTGTTTGAGAACCGGAGGGAGTATAATGTGACAAGTAAATGTGACACAATAAAGATTTACGTGGTTGAGTAAAAAATACGAGTAAAAAATTTAACACCAACAAAAAATCTGGCAAGTATATGACTACAATAAAGATAGACGTAAAATGTGATTTTTTTAGTAGTCATAAAAGTAACTTTAATGGTCATTATTATGTTCAAGCTTATACGAGTCAATTGATCTCTGCATTGAGCGAATAACGAATGAAATTTATTTTTATAAAAAATAATTCACCTTATGAGTAATGTATTTATGTGTACTTATTGTATAGAACTTGAGAACATGATGAAATTTGTAATAAAAGTATAATTGTTAGAGATACACTAAGAGCCTGTTTGGTGACTATGTTTTTTGACTTATGAGGCTTATTAACCAACTTTTTCATCGAACACAAAAATTTTGATTTTGCGTGCTGAATCGTGTACCTTCGTCCCTTAAAACTTTGCCAATGTTGACCGACACGAAGAATAATAAAATAAGAAATGTGTGGTTGAGGTTTGTGCAGAGGAGAGAGAAATAACAGAAACCACAAAATAATTGATTAAAAGGGAAAGTGACAAAGTTTTTTGTGACGTCCCAAAAAGGAAAAATGGCAAAGTTTTAAGGGATGGAGGGAGTAATAAGAAAAAATAAGGTCAAAGTTACTTTTCTTGATGTATCGCTTGAAGTTATGGTAGAGGATCATTTTAGCCATTTTTCATATGATTTTTTCTTTATTTGATTCATAAAATATATTTTAATTTTTTTTTTCATAAATCAGCAAAATAAGCCAATTTAGTCACTTCAGTCAATTTTTCAGGTTCTGTCAGTTGTTATATGGGGCTCTCTGGTTCTTCTTCTTCTGAATCTTCATCTTTATTCAACAGAAGGGGGTTTGGTGCAAGTGTAGCAAACACAGGATTAACTGCTACCTCTTCTGTTGTTTCAGGTGTTCTGTCTTCTATGTTGACTTCTTTGAGGGTCTCTGTTACTTCTTCAACAGAGATGCCATCATCAAACTTTACATGTATAGATTCTTCAACATGTAGAGTTCTTTTGTTGAGTACTCTATAGGCTTTGCTGGTGCTAGAATAGCCTATGAATACACCTTCATCAGCTTTCTCTTGAAAGACTTTCACATGTTCCTTTCCATTGTTGAGAATGTAGCATTTGCATCCAAATACATGAAAGTAACTGATGTTAGGTTTTCTTCCTTTCCAAAGTTCATAAGGGGTCTTCTGGTGATTCTTGTTGATCATACTTCTGTTCTGGGTGTAATCCAGATTCTGCAATCATTGTCCTTGCAGCTTCTTTCAACGTTCTGTTTCTCCTTTCTGCCACGCCATTCTGTTGAGGTGTTTTGGCGGCAGAGAGTTGATGAAAGGTTCCATTCCGTTCACACAAGTCCTTAATTACTTGATTGACAAATTCGGTTCTTCTCTCAGACCTGATTGTCCTGACCTTCAAGTTCTTCTCAGTCTAAATTGCTTTAACAGAGATGGTAACTTCTGAAGAGTTTCATTTTTCTTTGACAAGAAGATAGTCCATGTGTATCTGGAGTAGTCATCAACCATGACTAGAGTGTATTTCTTGCCACCAACATTTGGAGTCTCAACAGGTCCAAATAAATCCATGTGGATCAGATTTAAAGGACTTGTAGAGAGATCTCCAGCAATGGGTTTGAAAGAGTTCTTCTGTTGTTTTCCCTTCTGGCAAACACTGCAGAGTGTCTCTTTCTTGTAAACTATGTCTGGCAGTCCTTCTACAATGTATTCTCTTGCCAGTTTGTTGATTGTTTTGAAATTCAAATGTCTAAGCTTCTTGTGCCAGTCCCAACTTAGTTTTGAATCTCCTTTGGCTATCAGGCATACTCCATCTTTTGCAGTTTTCCAATCAACCACATAGATATTCTTCTTCCTTGTTGCTGTAAGAACCACTTTCTTGGTTGTCTCATGCTTCACATAACAGAGGTCTTTGGTGAATTCAACAGTGTAGCCTTTGTCACAGAATTGGCTAGCACTCAACAAGTTGAACTTCAGGCCTTTGACATAAGAGACATAATCAATAATTATCTGGTTCTTGATCAGCTTCCCTCTTCTTTTGTTTGACCTTCTTTATCATTACCTCCAAAGGTAACTCTAGGTCCTTTGCATTTCTGGAACTCTGTTAGGCAACTTCTGTCACATGTCATGTGCCTGGAGCATCCACTATCAATAAATCATTCCTGCTCAGAGATAGCTCCAGCACACAGTTCCTGCATGATCAAAAGAAAGATTTAGGTACCCAAGCAATGCTGGGTCCTAGGGGGTCATGGAGTCTGGGTAAATGGTACCATTTCGGTCTCATCAAGTGAAACCTTGGTGGGTGGTACCCATTGTCCACCTGGTAGTTATAGTAAACCAAAGTGTGATTAACTTTGGGCAGATGCTTGTGAGGGTCATGCTTCCTGTTTACATACTTTTGCATAGCTTTCTTGGTTGGAAAGAAGTCCCATATACTATCAAGAGTAGAGGGGCGGTTAGCTTTGAGCTTCTGGAGTTGTCCAGCCAACCTCTTCTCCCTAAAGTTAACTTTCTCTTGATACTTGCCCTTCTGGTGATCATTTCTAGCATGGTTATCATGAGGTTGTCTGTTGACAACTTGTCTTTGATTTTTATTATTCTGAAAACCCTTTCTGTTGTTAGGTTTTCTGCCAGGTTCATTAATTTTAAAAAGGGGTTTCTGTTGAACCTTTATCTTTCCTTTTTCTGGTCTGACTTCCTCATGAATAACTTTGGTGACATATACACCAGCTTGGCAGATGTGGCTAGAATTCAGTGGCACTATGACCTTATCTGCCTTAGCAACACTGGTGCTAGGAATTACAGAAGGCTCACCTGATTCTGTTGAGCCATACCCAAGACCAAAACCAAAGCCAATCTGTTGATCAAGTACAATCTTTTACATGGAAGACTCGGCCTTCTGGTAAGCTTTGTACTTAATCTCAAGAGGCTCAATTTCTCTTATTCTCTTCATAACTAGATGATTGATTTTGGTCTCAACCTCTTTTCTTAAGTCAAGAATCTCAACCTTCAGCCTACTGTTTTCTTCTGTAACAGAGGAATAAGTGCCTTGGACGGCCTTAAACTCTTCCCAAAATTTTGACATTGAATCAGAATCAAAAGCTAAGCCTACCGAAGAAAAACTAGATGTAGAAGTAGAGGTTACCTCATCATCAGAATGGGCCATGAGGCATAGGTCTTCTGTCTCAGCATCCAGGCAACAAAAG